GCATGTATTAACTTAATGCCATTGTCTGTTTTCAGGAAATTGGGATTAGGAGAAGCTAAAGCTACCACGGTGACCTTACAGCTGGCTGACAGATCATTGACACATCCACAAGGAATAATTGAAGACGTATTGGTTAAAGTGGAGAAGTTCATATTCCCAGCAGATTTTCTGATTCTGGATATGGAAGAAGATAAAGATGTTCCTTTAATACTGGGCAGACCATTCTTGGCCACAGGCAGAGCTTTGATCGACGTTCAAAATGGGCAGTTGATTCTGAGATTGGGAGAAGAACAGGTTTCATTCAATGTCTTCAAGGCTATGAAACTACCAATAGAGACTGATAGCTGTTTCAGGGTTGACATGATTGATAAAATGATTGAAGAGTCGTTTACACTGCAAAATCCATCAGATGCATTGGAGGCCTACATTGCACATTCTCAATCCACAAAATCTGATTCTGTGGACATAGAAATGTGTGCAAGATTTTTGGAGTCCAACTCACCTTACATGCAGAAACGATACTTTTAGGAGCTTGGGACAGGGCCTGAGAAATCACAGCCATCTATTCTGAAGCCACCAAAGTTGGAACTTAAGTAACTGCCCCCACACCTAAGATATGCATATTTGGGGGAGTCTAATACACTTCCAATGATAATTTCAAACATGGTTCGTAAAGTGGAGGAGGAAAAACTGCTTAGGGTGCTTAGAGATAACAAGCAAGCAATTGGGTAGACCACAGCAGATATCAAAGGGATCAGCCCTTCCTTATGTATGCATAAAATTCTCATGGAGGAGAATTTTTGACCAACAGTGGAAAGTCAAAAGAGGCTAAACCCAAATATGAAGGAAGTGGTAAGAGCTGAGGTGATCAAACTTTTGGATGCTGGAATAATCTACTCGATATCAGATAGTAAATGGACTAGTCCAGTGCAAGTTGTGCCCAAAAAAGGAGGAATTACAGTGGTTTAGAATGAAAAGAATGAGTTGATTCCGACAAGGACGGTAATAAGGTGGAGATTTTGCATTGATTTTCGTAAACTAAATACCACTACAAGGAAAGATCACTTCCCTCTTCCATTTATAGATCAGATGTTGGAGAGATTGACAGGCCATTCCCACTACTGTTTTTTGGATGGGTATTCGGGTTATAATCAGATACCAGTGGCACCGGATGATCAGGAGAAGACCACCTTGACATGCCCCTATTTTACCTTTACATACCGAAGAATGCCATTTGGACTTTGCAATGCTCCTGCCACATTTCAGCGATGCATGATGGCAATTTTCTCAGATATGGTGGAGAAATTCATTGAAATCTTTATGGATGACTTCTTGATCTTTGGGACCTCATTTGATGAGTGTTTGGAGCACTTAAACTTGGTTTTGAAAAGATGCAGAGAAACGAACTTAGTATTGAACTGGGAGAAATGTCATTTCATAGTTCAAGAGGGAATAGTCTTGGGACACAGAGTATCGGCAAAGGGGATAGAGTTGGATAAGGCGAAAATTCAGGTTATTGAGAAACTACCACCACCTACATCAGTAAAAGGAGTTCAAAGCTTCCTTGGGCATGTAGGGTTTTACAAGAGGTTCATAAAGCACTTCTCCAAAATCACCAAGCCTCTGTGAAACTTGCTAATGAAAGAGGTATCTTTTGAGTTTAATGAGGAATGTTTGATAGCGTTCAATACTTTGAAGCAAAAACTAACAACAGCATCTGTGATTGTGTCACCTGATTAGGATTTGCCCTTTGAGCTAATGTGCGATGCGAGTGATCATGCAGTTGGTGCGATATTGGGATAAAGAAAGAATAAAATATTTCATGTGATATACTATGCAAGCAGAACTTTGAACGACACCCAAATCAACTATGCGACAACCGAGAAGGAATTGCTAGCTGTGGTTTATGCATTCGACAAGTTCAGATCGTATCTTGTTGGGTCTAAGGTCATCATCTACACAGATCATGCCGCTCTGAAGTACCTTATGACAAAGAAGGATGCTAAGCCGAGATTGATCCGCTGGATATTGTTGTTACAAGAGTTCGATATTGAGATCAAGGATAAGAAGGGCAGTGAAAATGTGGTAGCCGACCACCTATCAAGATTGGAACGGGATGAACCTGAGATGTTAGTTGATATCAATGAAATCTTTCTAGATGAGCAAATTTTTGGAATAGAAAAAGTCCCATGGTACACTGATATTGTTAACTACCTTGCTAAGTCCATTCCTCCACCTGAGTATTCTAGCCATCAAAGAAAGAAGTTCTTCACGGAGCTGAAGTATTAATTTTGGGAGGATCCCATTCTCTATAGAAGAGGCTCATATCAAATAGTCAGAAGATGCATTCCTGAAGATGAAGTACCGGAGATTCTAGAACATTGTCACTCTTATGTATATGCTGGGCATTTTGGAGCTTCAAAGACTGCTGTAAAGATCCTACAGTCGGGTTTCTATTGGTCTACTTTATTCAGAGACACATTCGAGTATGTGAAGAGATGCGATAGATGCCAACGAACCTGAAATATCTCAAGAAGAAATGAGATGCCACTAAACTACATCTTGGAGGTTGAAATATTTGATGTATGGCGAATAAACTTCATGGGACCTTTTCCCCCATCGTACTCAAATTAATGTATCTTGGTGGCCGTTGACTATGTCTCTAAGTGGGTGGAAACTGTTGCATTGCCTACCAACGACGCAAAAGTGCTAATAGAGTTCTTGAAGAAGCACATATTTACAAGATATGGTACACCGAGGGCGATAATAAGTGATGGAGGCAAACACTTCATAAATCGTCAATTAGAGCAACTGTTGAACAAATATGGGGTGAAAAATAAAGTAGCAACTCCATATCATCCACAAACCAATTGGCAAGTTGAAGTTTCGAACAGGCAGTTAAAGAGAATATTGGACGTTACAGTGAACTCATCCCGAAAAGATTGGTCTAAGAAGTTGGACGATGCACTGTGGGCTTACAGAATAGCATTTAAGACACCAATAGGAATGTCTCCATACCGCCTGGTTTTTGGGAAAGCGTGTCATCTACCATTGGAGTTGGAGCACCGAGCATATTGGGCTATGAAACAGTTGAATATGAATCTCAAGGTTGCTAGTGAAAAATGACGCTGCAACTTAATGAATTGGACGAGCTGAGAATGGAAGCTTACGAGAACTCAAAGTTGATCAAGGAGGGCACCAAGAGATGGCATGATTTACACATTCAGAGGCGAGAGTTTGAAGTTGGCCAGAAAGTGTTATTGTACAATTCTAAACTCAAACTCTTCCCAGGAAAGCTAAGAACAAGGTGGTCGGGTCCCTATACCATAACTAAGGTGATGCAATATGGGGATATTGAAGTGAGTCACGAGACCAAATGCACATTCATCGTTAATGGGCAAAGATTAAAATATTATTGGGGCTGTAACTTCCCTAAGCAGAAGTCCACTGTGCAACTCAGCAACCCAACGTGAAGAAGACACAGGAAAGTCAACCTATCGACTATAAACTAGCGCTGGGTGGGAGGCAACCCACTGTATCCTTCAATTTATTTTATTGCATTAGTTTATGAAATTTTTTAAATTTCGTATGTTTTACAAGGTCATCGATCATTTACGCATGATAGTCTAGGCATTACACGCTTATAGTTGCATGAGTCGGGGCTAAATAAAGTGTTTTGGGTGTTTGAGTGTGAAGTAATGCATTTCGAGGTTCAAAGTCGTTCGTTTTATTTTATTTTTCGAGATGCCTTTCAAAAATTTTTGTAAAGAATTGGTTCTGGTGCAAAGTTTTCGATAAGCATATTCCCTTTCAAGTCAGTTTTTTTTTTCGGAATATGGCGAGTCGAGTCAATTTTGAAATTAAAAACCAATTTCGGGGGATTTTTAAATTTCAAGTTGTGATTGGGATTATAATTGTAAGTTTGCCTCAGTTATATAATAATAATAATAATAAAAAATTTTGCTTTGTCCATGCGGCCGCATGGACAAGGGTCCATGTGGTCGCATGGACCCATACCGAAACAAAAAAAAGGCCCCCAACTACACCATGCGGCTGCGTGGTGTATAAGTGACGGGTTTTAAACCCGTCACTTGCAAAACCCATCCCATTTCCCCCCAATCCACCTTCATACGAACACTCCCATTCCCCCCCCCCCAATCCACCTTCACACGAGCACAATAAATCATACAAGCATACACTCTTCATCCAAGCACCACATTATACTCTTCATTGGCATTAATATCAAGAACATTGAAGCAAAATCTCCACTTTCATCCCACACAAAGCTCTCAAGGTAAGAAATTTAACTTTCTATGCAAAGATTGAAGTACTTCTTTGATTTTATGAACTTTTCGAATTGGTTGAGTGTTGAATTGAGATTGAGTTGTGATTTGTGGATTAGCTCTAAGTGTAGATCAATAACAATGTGTAAGGAATTCCCAATGCACAACGTATTTAATTAAATGTCAATGAGACATATGATTTGAAATTTTGGACTTTTCATTTGTGTGATGATTTACATTATTATTGTGAGTCGTAATAGACGAAAAATCTCATGGAATTTCATTAGAACACATTCGCCTCACATATTGTTGCACATAAACACATAATTGCTAAGCCATGTCAACTCACGTCACTAACTTCGTCCATGTATTTTCTTAACCAAACGACCTCCGATTGTAGTAAAATTTGGATATATGCTAGACCACAATGAGTACTTTCATATGTCCGGACCTTGTTCGGGGAAATTTCAATATTTTTCGATGATACTCGGGGCTGAAGATGGTCACTTAGTCATGGGTCGAATTTTCAAAAAGTGCATGTTAGAGCCATAGTTTTGAGTTTTTCTCATTAATGCAATATTGATGTTACATTGACTTTCATATGTTGAATATTGCACACATTTTGAAGAAAGTTTGGGAAATTCTTGCATGTCAATGATTTTCTTTATCGTTTTCTTATTTCAAGAACTTGATACACTTTGTTCCTTACTTTTGTAGGATGCCGCCGAAGAGAACCTAAAAGGGAAAAGACAACGTCGGTTCCTCCTCCGGTACAGCCCGCACCAGAGAGCTAATAGGAGGTGTACGAAGATCCCAAACTGCAGAATATTAGCTCGATACGAGAACATAATATGCCATTGGGGCATGATACCAAAGAGACAGGTCCAGTTAGAGGACTTCCGTGGTTTTGAGTTGACACATCTGATACAAATCTGTGGATGGGATAAGATTATAGAAAAGCCACACCCGGTTTATGAAAGTACAGTCCGCGAATTTTATGCAAACCTCAATAGTGAAATTGAGATTTCGGATTCTGAACACTTATACTAGACGTGGGTTCGAGGTAAGTGGATAATGTTCTCCCCAGCGATCATCCATGACTTCTACAATCTTAATGTGTTCCCGATTCCCACTCAATTCAATTGGAATGAAGTGGCGGAGGTTCTCTTGGGAAGAGAAAATGCTTGGGCCCTACCCACAGCAGAGTGGTATCAAATTGAGCTTACTCCCTCCATAGCTATCCTCTAGGTCTTCATGTGCTATAATATCGAACCCACATCGCATCGGACAACTTTCACGGATCAAACTGCTGGGTTCATATATCATTTAGTCCGGGGATGTAAAGTTGATTTAGCTACTCTTATCTATGACCAGATATAGAATTTGGGGACCTGGGAGATAGGCGGTCTTCGATGATCTTCCCTAGTCTGATTAGCGGGATATGTCTCGCCGTCGGTGTTACAGTTGAGGCAGGGGAGATGCCTGGGAAATTAAGCCCACTGATAAAGCGCGCAACATTTGAAGCTCAGGAACGAGCTAGGATGAGAAAGAGAGAACAAGACCGACTTGAGCAGCAAAGACATAATGAGCAGGGAGAAGGACAAGCAGCTGAAAATATACACCTGCCACAAGCCCCGCCACAACCAGCTGAAATGGATTCGCAGCTACTTCGGCAGATATTTGCCACCGCCACAAGAACTAGCAGGGATATACAAAATCTCCAGCAGAGGTTCGAGACGATGACCACCACTATTGAAAAAGTGCAGAGAGACCTCTATTTCTCCCAAGACTACACAAAAGGCGCTATGAATGAAGCCACGACTGCAAGAAGGAAAGTAGAGACTATGAACGGTAGGTTCAACATGTACGCTGGGAGAATGGATGGCATACAGTGGCGTATGAACGAAACTTGGGATCGTTTGGGAAGTATGGAAAGTAGGCTTCAAGCCATTCAGGCCGAGCAAGCACAACAGTGCGAGTTGCTGAGACAACTCCTATCTCGCCTCCCATCTCCTCCTAAAGATGATGCTGCGGGTCCTAGCTTCACACCACAGCCATCAAATTGATCAGGGGAGTTTTGTTAATCTCTTATTGCCAAGTTGTGTCCATGTTTTAAATTCTGTCATTTTAACTTTACATTTTACATTGAGGACAATGTATTGTATAAGTTTGGGAGATTGTAGCATAATTTCAAACAAATATTCAGCATGTAATTGTTTTGCATATTCACAATCCATCGTTAATTTTGACAAGTTTTTGCATGACGCATGCTTGATGAGTGAGTCTTGATGAACTTTTGCATGCTTGTGTGGGTTTGGTAGCCTTGCCGGCTATAATGTGATTATTGGACATATATAAACTAGAAACTTTGGATTTAGTGCAGGATTTAATTTGCTAATACTTGTTGATGCATTGCTTGACATTCTTTTGCATGCTACTCATGCATCACGTGTTAAGTTATTGATTGGAATTCTAGAATAAATTAGGAGAAACCTAGAATAACCCTCTATAACATTAACCCGTAATGCCACTTTGAGATAGTTTGGAGATGGTTAAGCCATTATAGGGAAATATGGAGATAAGTGGGGGCTCCGTGCATGAAATTATACTGTGTGGATTGTTTAGACCCGAAAGGTGAGAAATAGGTGAAAGCTTTAAGTTGAGGATGGTTTCGGAAGTCAAATGTCTAGAAAAACAAAGAAGTGGCATAAAATAAAAATTGGAAAATCATCACTTCTCTCAAAAGCCTTTATGACTCGAGCAAGTAAGTCTGTAAGGGTTTAAAACCTGATGCCTAAAGCCAACTGGTATGGGACTCATCGGCCTAAAGCTCGTTACAAGGGTCATATAGAAAGCAAGAAAAGGGAGAAATTGATAAAAAGTCATCTTATCGAGCCTTTATAACTCGAGTGAATAAGATTGCAAGGCTTTAAAACCTAATGTCCTAAAGCCAACTGGTTTGGGAGTCATCGCCTAAAGTTCTTTACATGGGTTATATAGAAAGCAAATGAGAAGATGACAAAAAAAAAAGCCCTTGTTGGACATTTGGTTGATAGAGCTATAACTTTGATGCGAGGCAAGTAGCTTAGTTTAATCCTAAAGGTTGAAGCAATCAAAATAAGGAGAGTCTCTACTTGTTGATATGTGAACTTGTAATGGTAAAATCTATCCAAATTAAGAGCGGGTAAGGATTAAAATTGTTTAAACTTTTAACCTTAGAATGCACCCTAGAGTAATTGAGTGAAAATAATACATTTGGAGTTGTGTATCTCTCGAGTGATGTAAGGATAAATTTGACCACTATGGGTCGGGAATAAACTAATCATAAGCTTGATACGCTGGCATGAGTTCACACACACACGTTGAGTATTGCATTTGATGAGTAAAGGTTGATTCAATTCTCGCACTTTTGATATTGTTTCTATTATTATTACTAAGTTCCAATCCTGAGACACGGCAAGCTATTAAGCCATGTTTGTTTAGCATTAAGTCACTACATTGTTTGAGGACAAACAATAGTTTAAGTTTGGGGGATTTGATAAGTGTATTTTTACACACTTATTTAGCTCACAAACATGACTTAAATATGGACAAAGTAGTTGAATTGTGACTTAATCTGGTTAAATTCATGCAATGTAGGTGTTTCTATGGAAAAGATAGAATTCAGAAGAAAAGAGCCGAAAAAGGACCAAAACGGAACAAAGCGATAGTTCGGGAACCTAAGGTGAAAATATTGGAAAGTTGAGCTAAAGTGCAGAACGAGAATGAAAATATGCCAAGTATGAGCTTGAGGACGATACAAGATGATCGGAGGAAGAAAGAAGTAATATTAGACTGAATTGAAGAAAAGTGAAAGATGAAGGACTAACTTGCAATTAATCAAAAGATGAGCCGAGCAAGTGATCAAGGAATTGATTGACCCAAACATCAATTAGGAGTCAATATTTGATGATGGAAGGAACGAAAGAAAGAAAAGAGATCAAGAAAAGAGAAAATGAAGTTCAGGGACCAAAACAACAAAGTTGAAAATTACAACCTTGCAGCCGCACAGAACTGTGCCATGCGGCCGTACAGAAGGTTGCAAAGATTCCATGGGCCATTTCACTTGAACCATGCGGCCGCATGACTATAAAAAACAAAAACAAAATTCTGAACTTGCGTTTTTTATTGAAACTCTTTCGGAGCTCCGTGAGGACATGATATAAAAGTCAAAATTCATCAGAAATAGGGTAGAACGTCCAGAGAGAAGAAAATTACAACTTTTGGAGGCAAGAAACACGATCTTGAAGCCGATTCCACAAGAATTCAAGCGGGTTTTCAAGACTTGATTCAAGATTTCAAGAAATTTTCATACAGGTGCTATTCTTTCAATTTATTAATTTCGTTTTTTATTCTATAATTATGAATATTCTAGGCTAGATTTTCAATTCACTAGCTGATCGATGAACCATTGTTTGTTATTTTAATTCCATATTTCATGATTTTAATATAAATACTCGTTTGGACAATTTGATTGGTTTATATGCATTGATTTTCTTCTACAATTAGTGGCCAATGATTGTGTGAGTGTTGATGACTTATTTCTTACATTCGAGAGAAGTGGAATAGGTTCCATAAGGTGTAAATCAACATAGGGTCCGACAGGGGATAGAGATATACCCTTATGCTTTATGCAATTCTCTAATTGTTCACAAAATCACATGCATTCTTGTATATTTGCATCATACATAGAGATATAGGCTGGTGGTGTACAAGAATAGGTCTAATATATATCGAGAGAATATGTTGGATAGATTTAGGAACATTGAATTGGCAAATTTCCATCGGGTCATTGATTTTATGAAATTAGGGTTTTTATAGCTTCAATTGGGGATTCATGATCCTAGTGACTTTATTTTGATTCATTTTCATAAATTAGCTTTTGAATTTGCATAATTTCATTTACTTGAATGTTTGAGTCGTTTAATTAGAGAAATTTTGAGATTAGGGTTCCTAATTGAGAAATTAGGGGTTTTAATTGAAATTAGGGATTTTTGCATTTGGACCTTATTTTCACTCAATTAGACTCGGTTAAGGTTAGATTATATAGAATTGAACTACTCAATCTCTGTGGGACGATATTCGGACTTTTAAAAATTCACTTTATTACTTGTCACGATCCATACACTTGCGGTAGTTTTAAATCGAAAGAATTATTTCGTGAACAGTAATCTCATGGTGGAAATCTATATGCTTCCACCACCAGGTCTTCAATGACAGGGGGAGAATTTGGTATGTCGCCTTAACAAATCACTTTATGGGTTGAAACAAGCTTCTCGTCAGTGGTTCTTCAAATTCTCACATGCTATCCAATCTATTGGTTATGTTCAATCCAAAGCAGATTACTCACTTTTTACTAAGAGAAAGGGAGAGTTGTTAACTATACTACTCATTTATGTTGATGACATAGTAATAACGGGGAATAATTTAAAAGCAATCAAGGAACTCAAAACGTATTTAAATGCCAAGTTTCGTATCAAAGACCTTGGTAATTTAAAATATTTTTTGAGAATCGAGGTGGCACGCTCAAAACAAGGTATTATTATTTCACAAAGAAAATATCTATTGGACATTTTGAATGATGTTGGTTTTTTGGGATCATGACCTACAAGCTTTCCTATAGAACAAAATCTCAAATTGTTTCCTAATGATGGTGATCCATTAGAGGATCCCGCCAAATACAGAAGACTGATTGGTCGATTGATATATCTCACAATTACACGGCCAGACATTACGTATTTTGTTCATTTATTGAGCAGATTCATGCAGTCACCTCGAAAGCCTCATTACGAAGCCGCCTTATGAATTTTGAAATATCTAAAAGGCACACTCTTCACAAAATACATTGAAGTTGAAAGTATATTGTGACTCTGATTGGGCAGGATGTCCAGCCACTCGACGTTCAACAACTGGTTACTGTGTTTTCCTCGAAAATTGTCTTATCTCATGGAAAAGCAAACTCTAGAAAACTGTATCCTTATCTTCTGTTGAAGCTGAGTATAGATCCATGGCAGCGGCATGTTGTGAGCTTACATGGTTACAAAACCTTTTTCAAGATCTACAAGTTCAAATTTAAGGGCCAACAACTTTGTTCTGTAACAATCAAGCTTCTCTTTACATTGCAGCAAATCCGCTATTTCACAAACGAACAAGACACATTGAGATTGATTGTCATTTTGGTCAAGATAAAATTATGGAAGGAAAGATCGTGACAAAGTTTATTCCATCCATGTCACAACTTGCTGATATATTCACTAAAGCTCTCAGGAAGGAAAAATTCATTCTTTGTTGGTCAAGTTGGGAGTTCATAACATTTACTCACCAACTTAAGGGGCAGTGTTGAGAAAATCAAATATCTTTGTCAATATTACAGATTGATTTAATTAGAAGACAAATATATTGTAATATATAACTTTCCATCTTTGTAATATAGCATCAATTAGTAGCAGATTTTCAGGAATTGACTAGAAGGCTGTGAGCTATATATACATGTAAATTATATGTAGAAATCATTGAATAAAATTCTGTCATTCTTCCAAAATTTACACACAAAGCCTTCCACTTGAGAGAATCCACCTCCAATTAACAATGGTGAGAAAGACAAGGCACGTGTAATGCTTCAGTAAAAGAGGAATTTCCACTCAAGTTAGTAAAGGCCAGTCAATTAATAAAACAGACATTCTGCCCAAAAAAAAAAAAAAAAAATGATGTCAAGCGCACATTGTGAGATTGACATCTTTGTGTATATTTCATTGGAATTCAAACAATGATGGGTGTGAGAGAGTGAGGGAGCAAAAAAAAAATAATTAAAAAAAATATATATATATATTAGTGATAGTGGAGACCACGTCACATGTTAAAAAAAGCAGTAAAAGAGAAAATGAAAGATGGAATGGTGGTTGTCCTCTTTCTCTCATTCTATCACATAGACACGAAGGCACCAAGCGCAAAAACAGAAATTAAGAGGAAAAATGGTAAAAGAAACCTGGGAAGCAGCAGCACTAATTGTCAGCTGGGACTGGGAGATATTTAACTTTCACGCTGGGAATTAATTCTCCGTTTTGGCCACAACACAAGGTAAGAAGGAGAATGCTAATTTAAAAATCTGTCAGGGTGCGTTTATTGTTAATATTTTTCATGGAAAATTTGTTTTTTATCACTCAAATTCCTACTTTTGTATTGTTTAATTG